AAGGGGTAGTGTGTTAGGGTTATGGTTTAACCCTCCTAACCCTAACCCTAAACCCTAAACCCCATAAGTGGCAATCGAGTACACTCCGTGTCTGGCAACTCACCCGGTGTCGTGTATGTTTAACTGTTCGAAGATGACGGTGTATAGACATACAGACTTTAGCTTTGTGTGTACTTTGTATGTCAAGTGTTGTCTATCGTCCTTGCCCTCCCACCCGTTAATCCACGGCCCTACTCTGTACCATCTATTGGCAGACGAAAACTGGGTTTGTGGGCACCACCGGGACGGTCGCCATAGTCAATGGGACCGATTTGCATGTGGCCTATGTCGGAGACAGTCCGGCGTATCTATATCATACTAATGGTATGTTACCGGTTGTTATTTGTGCGTGCATCAAGTTGTTTTAATCTAGAACGTACTCGTGGTATTTACAGTTTGTTATGTTTTAAATTGGTTAATTTGTAGAATACGAATGGTATATATAGCCTGTCCTTCGTGTACGACTGCGTCTTGTACAAGCATTCAATCGTATATGGAAAGGGGGGCTTCATCAAAACTTCAACTAAGCACGGATATATACAAATATGGCGGATGTTATCACACCCCAAATTCACACTATAAGGAAAGATCACAATCCACACAGAACCACAACCCCGTGCACGGCACTCAGCACAAATGAACCCCACCCATTCCCACCTATTTGTGCTGAGCGAGATTCACGCTTTATTTTATATTGTGTACACAACTCTCGGTCCACAGGAACATGTCACACAACACCCTAAACACAACACACAACTCACCGGCGAATGTCACTAGTCACAACTGACTCCATCTGTGACTGTTACACTATACACAACTCTCGTTTCTCATTCGACAGGTGAGTTTGACCCACTGATCATCCCTCACAATCCGATGAATCCGGTGGAGAAGGCGCGTGTGAAGGAGGTCGGCGGCAGTATTGTCACTTTGTACGTTGAATGTTGCACTTTGCTGTGCTGTTACTAAGACACTCCTCTGTCCTATGTGCGGATAGTAGGCTATCTGTTTGCGTATCG